AAAATACAAACGATTCCGTATAAAAACTTTTATTAATTTATCTATTTCGGCTAAATGCATGGTGTAAAAATAATTAATTAATTACAATTAAACGAATGACTCACAAACCTTTTCAATTGCACTTCAAAAGTCTTCATACGAAATACAAACGATTTCATATGGTAGATTCTTTCCCGGACATTCATTTCCGGTCAAATACATACGAATTAAGAAAATTGATTGGTCCATACACATGTGCATAAGGAAATAGATCAATCAATTTTTTTATGCTTACGCATTATGCGTTGTGCAGAAGTGTGTGCTCCCCGCTTAAGTCTTTGACTTAATTGGCTGATTTGCTTACTGCTTAAAGGTGAAAATTCATGGGCAGTGAAAAGTAGCAGCAGATCGTACTGATTGGTTACAAAATAGAGAAGTTCTAGGAACTCGAGAACTTCTCTATTTTATAGCCAATCAGTACAATCTGCTGCTGGTTTTCACTGCCCATGAAATTTCACCTTAAGTTTTTCTATGTGCCACGGCCTTGATGCCACAGACACAGAGCCACCGCACAAGACTCGTATGGTCACGTAGCGTACGTAACGTGAATCAACGCACAAGAAACGTATCGGTTAGAGCCTCCGCACAAGCTCTCGTATGGCAACGTAACGTAGATTAATGCACAAGAAACGTATAACGCCGTAACGGCCGTAACCAATACGTTTCTTGTGCGTTGGCTCACGTTATGTTACGCTACGTGACCATACGAGAGTCTTGTGCGGTGGCTCTTAAGTGATTTTTGTATGTATGTACATACATACATTTGATACACAAAAATTTTAGTACTCACACATTTTCTAAAAATTGTGCATGTAATGTATGTTATAATCGAGCAGAAAATATTCATAATTGAATATATAGAAAATATTTATAATAAATTTTTAAAAAAATTTTAATATCTTTTTAAATATAATATAAATTACTACAAATATTAGTTTGTATACACTCTGATTTAATATAAAAACAAATAATAAACACATACATAAGAAAATTTATTTATAAGAATTAGATGTATATTAAAATAAATCTATAAATTTATTTGCGATAAGAAGATATTTAAATACATTAAGAGAACTTAAATTAAATATATATTATTAATACTTGAATATTTTGGAAATATTTATTCTAGCCATTCTCTAATATATTGGCACTTGATAGGTGTAACAGGACCTTCGTCCCGACATTGTCTTCTCACCTAAAAAAAACAAGAAATATTGTTCAATGAAGTATTTTTAATTATTATAAAAAATTAAATTATGCCCAAAAGAAAGAATGTTCATGCGATAATATAATAAAGTTTTTATGCAATGTCCAGTTAAACTTCTTATGCACTTTAAATTATTCCTCATATTGGTTCATTTGATCTATGTATATGAAAGTCCTTCTTACAATTAGTCAATGACCAAAAATAAATCAATGTTCATCAATGCGAAAAATGTATAAAGGTAATTGTATCATCGCACGAATATCCATGCTTTTAGATATTGATCTTAATTTAATTTTTTACAGCTTATAGCCATAGAAAAATTAATTATTGGCTATTAAATTTATTTTATTTATTTTTCGTTAATTTTTATAATAAACGTAATGTATTTATAATGTATCTCACAGGACATAAACCACAAGGAGTTCTAATCAATCCAGGTGAATTCAGTAAAGGCTGAATCGCTCTATATAAATTACTTCCATCCCCTGCGAGTATCTGTTCAACCTTACCATCATAAACTAAAGTATTTAAAATCATTTCCATGTTAGTTACAGATAATTTCACCTATAATATAGATTTTTTTTAGTAACAAGTTTTTAATAATAAAGATAAAGGAAAAATGTTTTAATGCATAAAAAATACTACCTTACTTATTCCTAAATCCGAAATAAATTTCCACACTTCCTTAGAAGAAGCGAATGTTGTGTTTCTTGCAGCAATAGGTCCGGCGTTACAACTTTTCATTTTTTCCCTCTTTTGTTCCAAAAATCGATAGCATTGCTGATTCAACACATCAACAAATTCTGTTTCAAAGTCTTGATCTTGATACCAAGCACCACCTGTTACGGACTCATCTGGTTCCAAATTGTACAGCATATACACTTTTTTCTTACTCGCTGCTACAGGTTTAACAACTTTGATAAACTTTTTAGTTTCTAAGCTTTTTAAAATTTTTTGTAATTGAGTGTGCATCAAATTAGATTTAAATCTTATATCTCGAGTCCATATTCCCTTATTTCCCGCTTCTTCAATAATTCTATATACTATTTTTTCTTCATTATCAGCACATTTAGCAAGTTTTGTTGGGTCTTTCAAGCGATAAAACAATAAGCCTCCTTGTTTAAAAAGATCAAAGTATCCTTGAGACAGAAGCTTATTTATAATCTGAGCCCGTTGAACTGGTTGTAAATCAGGTATCTCGGTAGCTAAGTCTTTGTCTGAAATACCTTTAGGTCTCTCTCGTGCAAGAGCAATTATTCTGTAAAAAAAAATAAGACGTAAATACATAATAAAATAAATGAAAAAATCAATAATAAAATATAATGTATGATGCAATCAAATCTAATTGTTTTCATTTTACTAACTTATAATCTTATATGTAACTTATCAACTACAATGTACCTATTTCATTACATTAGCCAAAACCTATTGCAATGTTTCAAAATTATAACATAAATAAATTATTGAATTGATTCATAAATAATTTCCATTTTACTTAATAAACTGAATTTTTATATTTTGAAAACGTTACAATAATAAATATATTGTTATACATATATAAAATTAACACCTAGTTACGGCTCGATGCTCCTTCGTTGTTAATTGAATTAATTGTTATATATATTCTCCATTATTAAGTATAACTTGTTACCATTTAGACGGAAATTTTTTAGTTTCTTTCTCTTAAAAAATATTGGCAATTTTGATGGAGTTTTGGACAAATTTGTAAAAGTTTTTTTACAAATTTGTCGAGCTCAGCATCGCATCGTTATTAAAATTTTTTCCATTTAATAAATTTTGAAATGATCTAAACAGATGGAAATTTGATAGTGCAGAAAAAGTTCTAGAAATCTTTCATGGATTATTCCATACATATGTGCGGTTAGACATGTCGTGTAGCAAAATCACAGCTGGTCAATAAGTACTGATACTTCGTAAATGATACACTCTTAATAACTTGTTAAAATTGAAATAATTATATATATACCATGGGTAATACTGGTTTCTTAGGAGAGTGAGAGAGAGAAAGGGGAAGGGGGAGGGGAGGAAGCAAGAGGGGGGGAGAGATATTCAGTAATTACCCAGTAACACCAGTAAGCAAAATATTAGCAGCATATGCACAGATTGGCAGCAAATTTGATCAAAATCTATATATCAAAACTATAATAGTCATATGTGTCCGTATTACGCTCGTGTTCTATCGACAGTCTGCTGACAGGCAATGTGAGCAGATTGACAACTGAAACCGCGCAGACAGAGCCTGCTGACAAGCAACGTGAGCAGACTCTGTTACATTTCTGGCAATAGTTTAATAACATCATCTGATACAGTAACTTCTGAGTGAAATTTGTCGCCTTTTTCACATGAAAAATTTAATGCAAAACCTGTTCAGAATCTGTCTGTGCAAGTTTAGCTATCTGGGTATCTATAGTGGAACTTATTTATGAATCAATTCAATAAATACACATAAATATACATAATGTTATTATTTGACATTTTAAATATCGCAAATTAATTAAAAGAAAGCATACAACTTTAAAATTACATCACGATTTTGATTTTTTGTTTTCCTTTCTTCAATGCAAAATTATATTATCTATTTCGAACACATAAACAGCTGATCTACATCCATACTTTTGCTCAATTGTTTCGGGCCCATCGTGTTTCGTGCTGGTACTTGCGTTTTGTTCTTCCACTTCCATCACATATAAAATAGTTTTTGCGCCGTATTATACTGAAGATTGTTTTATCGTTGTTTTCTTAAATAAATTATATTCTTCTTCTTCTTCTTTGTAAATTTTATGGCATTTAATCCCCCTCGGGATCACTTAACGGCCAAGAACAAGTCGAAAATAATGGGTGCGTTCAGCCGATACTCCGCTAGCATAGCAATCGTGAGCAGTCGCTCGTTTTCGCTCGTTTCCTCTCTTTTTAATCCATTGGGTCAAAAGAGAGGGAACGAGCGAAAACGAGCGACTGCTCACGATTGCTAGGCTAGCGGAGTATCGGCTGAACGCACCCAATAAATACAGACTCGAAAAATTCAATTCAAACTCGGCGCTGATTGCATAAGCAATCTTCAAAAATTATTTAAGACGAAATAAATTATATAATTCACATCAATTTAAATGCAAGTCTCCGTCTATTCTTTTCCGAAGAACTTCCCAACTTCCTAAACTGGTGCACACTAGCCTAGTTTCCAGTTTTCAGTGTTTCCACCGAAGTAGAAAAAAACCTGAGAGAGGCTATCCCTTTGTTCTTTCTGAGGACGCTGTGGCTACAGCCATCGGCCATCAGCCATGATGTAAAAAGATAGAGGGCTGCGTTTGAAAACTTTACTCGGGTGCACACCGCGTAATTCTATTGGTGTTTTCGATTTGCTACTCGTAGAGTTCCTCTAGTAAGAGTTAGGACACCCCGGTCTGAATCCTGATTGGTTCCGCCATTAATGGGGAAGACGTTAGTGGGAGTGAGACAAAGCTATGCAAGTGGGAGTGAGACAAAGCTATAACATAAGTGTTAGTGATCCGCTATGCCCGGCTATGCTACAATTTCCAAGTACGATAGTTGAAGAACAAAATTACCTCGATCGTTCGCTATGCAAAAGTATGACTATTTCGCAAGCGAGTAAAATTCACGTTACAGTAAGTAATAAAAATAATTAAAATATAACAAAGAGTTATTTTACATCTGTTTAACTGTACATGATTATAAGCGATACTTATTAATAAAATGTATTTAGTAATTATTTATTATAATATTAAATTCACAAACTGTAATCTAAAACTTATACAAAAAACCTTAACCTAAAACTTATACTTACAAATAGTTTGGAAAAATAATTTTAAAAACTGTGTTGTAGATAAAATGCCTAGTTGTGCGGCGCAAGGTTGCTCAAATTCCTGGAAATCAGGTTACAAAATGTGTTATTTCCCATTAAAAGATACACAAAGATGTGCAATATGGATTCACAATGTGAATCGTACAAATTGGATCCCAACAAAACATTCAACATTATGTCAGGTAATAATATAAATTTGAACTTATTAATAATTGTTGTACGGCGTCATTAATGCCTGGTCTCCAAAATTGGATGCGTTTCGGACTCACTCTTTGTCTCTTTCTAAAGGGGACAATTAGAAAGAGTGAGTTTCCGATACTCTATTATTGTTACATTATTTTTATGATTTATAGGTTCATTTTGCTCCTGAAATGTGGGAAAAACATAGAGCAGATGGCAGCTTGAAATTAAAAATGAATGCCATACCTACTTTATTTGGTGATACAGGTAATTTTTTCATCTATGTTGGTTTAAAATTCTTAATTTTTTGTATTTCTATTTTTATTAGTTTTATAGAAATTAATAACACAGTACCTATTATAAATAATAACTTTTGCATTTATTAAAGTAATAGATTTTTTGTAGAAATAGATATAAATAATTATTATTTAACAGCAAAGATTAAGGAATATAAGAAAGAAATTAAATAAACAAAAGTAAAGTTTTTTCTGTATGGACAGAATTCAATTATATGTTCCAATCATTTTCCAATGTTAATACTTTATTTTCAGTTCCAAAAGAGCTAATAATTAACGAAATTGAAAATAAAGATCAATCAACGAAAGACTATGTGCAAAGTGAGACGGTGCATATTGGAGAAAATTCGTCCCAAAATAATGAACATGAACCAATGGAGTATGAAAATAAAGATCAATCAACGGAAGACTTTGTGCAAAGCGAGACGGTGCATATTGAAGAAAATTCGTCCCAAAATAATGAACATGAACCAATGGAGTATGAAGATGTGAATGAAATTATAAATATTGAAAGTAGCGAAGCAGAAAATGGAAAATCCGTGCAATCAAATAAAGTTTTGAATTCGTGCACTAATTGTTTACAAAAAGACAAAACAATAGAAGAAATGCGTAAACTTTTAACAAAAATTGATCGCTTACATAAACATGCAAAAGAAAAACTTCTCAATGCAAAACGCAATATAAAACGTTTACAACAACGAACAGGTTCTTCCCATATACTTGCAACAAAGATAAAGAATATGCTTAGCGATACGCAACTAAAACTGTTATCTGGCGAATTTATCAAAGTTCCAAAATGGTGCAATAATACTATACAAAAAGCACTAAAAATAAGGTTTGCATGTGGTAGCTCAGGTTATGAGGAAGTGATTCGTCATTTTCCTTTACCTTCGCTACGAACATTAAATAGGAAAATGCAAAATATACAGTTTGATAGTGGTATTTTGAATGACATTTTTGACTTTTTAAGTATTAAAGTTTCTTCCTTCAAAAATAGTTTAGATAATCATTGCATGCTAGTGCTAGATGAAATGAGCATAACACCCAGTCATGTATTAGATATATCAAAAAATACGTACTTAGGTACTGCTACTTTACAAAATTGTTCGGGTGATAAGCATATCGCTAATCATGCTTTAGTTATAATGTTAGGAGGCATTTCAAGTCGATGGAAGCAAGTTGTCGCCTATTATTATACCAGTGACTCAGTGGATGGTACAAAATTAAAACCTATTGTCTGTGATATTATAGAAAAAGCAGAAAAAATAGGATTACGCGTTCATAGTATTACTTCAGATATGGGATCCGCAAATATGGCATTATGGAAAGCGTTTGGTATAAAAATTTCACGACATTCTAGGATCATAAATTCTTGCGTACATCCTGTTGACAAAAATCGCTCTCTTTATTTTTTTCATGACGTAGCACATACATTTAAAAACTTAAAAGCAGGTTTTATAAGAAATGAATTGTTTAAAATTCCAAAAGAAATAGTAGATAAATATGGTTTACCAACAAATGAAGTAAGAGTTTCTCATTTACATAAATTATGCACAGCACAAGAAAAATTAGGTTTTGGTTTATTAATAGCTCCAAAATTGCAAAGAAAATTATTAGATCCTAATAATCATTTTCAAAAAATGAAAGTGAGCAATGCTACTAATGTATTGAACCATCGTGTAGGTTCTGCTCTACAATTTCATGCTGAAGATACAAATGATCCAACTCTTAAAACAACTGCTTGGTTTATACAGTTCATTTCTAAATGGTTTACGATTATGAGCGCAAGAACACCAAAACTAGCCTTAGGAAAACTTAATGTAGAAAAATTTGAAGAAACAATGCAATTTTTAAGAGAAGTTATTCAAGTAGTTACAGGAATGGAGGTCGGCAAATCAAGGTCATGGAAACCATTTCAAACAGGTGTTATAATTTCTACCATGTCCATTATACAATTAACTAATTACTTACTTGATAATGAGGGCTTCGAGTTCGTTCTCACGTCGCGATTTATGCAAGATTGTTTGGAAAATGTATTTTCTATTATTCGTTCTAAAAACGTGATACCAAATGCAGTCCAGTTCAAAAATGATCTCAAATTAATTACAATTTCGCAATATATGAAGCATATTGGACACAGTAGTTATGACAATGATGACAGGGAGTTCTTTTCACAGTTTTTAGAATTAATGTCAAACAAGAATCGCACGCGTCCGATTATCGACGAAAATGAACTTGTTAGCAATCAAATAGTACAAATAAATGAGACTGATATTTGTGATAATATTGTTCTTGATAATATGGCTTTAAATACTATATATTATTTAGGCGGTTATATATTGTATAAAATTAAAACTAAAGAAAAAGTATGTGATATTTGTATTAACGCTACAGGGAGTACTGACTTTATTGCGTGTTCACATAGTGAATTGACAAGAGCAAGATGTTTCAAGGAAGAAACATTATTTTTTATGAATAAACCAACATTTTCTTTTATTGTAAAGATGGAAAAGGTTTTCCAGAGTTATTACATACAAGTTTGTTCCAAATCCATAAATTTAAAAAAATTTTTTATTAATTTGTGTAATACGATTAACTTTACAATTCCAAATTGTCATAATGTAGAACAAAAAATCATTACACGTTTCATTACTTTTAGATTAAAAAAAATGTCTGTAACATTGCATGGAATGGATAAAAATTCTATGTTTGCGAGCAAAAGTGCTTATATGCATGCTGTAACATAATAAATTTGGTTTGTATTCATTAAGTTAAATACATCATGTTATATGCATGTTTATTATGTTCTATAAAAAGTTTAATATATGGCTTGTTTTGAATAAAAAATTATAGTATGGTTTATTCGAATAAAAAACTTTAATATTATTCTATCTCTAGTTGATTTTCCTATAAATACTGTACTCCATTCGTTAATTTTTTCAGGTTTCTCCTATTGCAATGAGTTAAAAAAAATCATGCTACATTTGATTTTTATATGCATATCGTGATATTAGTTCTGTGGAGAGCATTTGCAGCAACTTCATTAAATGATGGTGATTGTGAAATGTATTATTATACTTACTATGTATTTCATGTCCAAATGTTATCTTTGTAAATAAAGACAGACTTTTATAAAATTACAAATAGATAATATAAGTGATACGTCGTAGAGCAATTTTTTAACTTTTTATATAAAAGAAACGTAATCTTTAATTTTAATATATAAATAGATAAATAGAATAGTAGAAGCCTTTCAAATCGCGCGCTATAGCTCCCTATTAATGGCGGACGGTGTCCTAACTCTTACTAGAGGAACTCTAGCTACTCGACCCGCCTCGGGTCGCATCAATAGACGTGGAATACATACATAGATATGTATGTATTCTACGGCAATGATGCTACCTCATAGAAGTTAGCCGGACAATTTCGACTTACGACATTTTTTT